TGCACCGCCTACCGTCCAAGAGTCCCGCTGTAATAGGACACTCCGCTGCCATACCGTAGGTCGGTCTCCATGAAGCGTCAGATCCCCCATGCATGACCTTATCATCCAGTCCCAGGTGGCAGCCATTGGACGCCCTCACAACGCCTCTGGTCCCCTGTCTCGAATCTTCCGGGACCCGCCTTGGCTCCCAGTCCGCGGCTGCAGGCGTGAACAAGAGGCTGGAGCGTTGTGGAGGCTGCTGGGCTGCCCTGTCCGAGGGTGAAGGAATAAGACGAGACTCACCTCGCGATCTTGCTGAGAGAAACAGACTCAGCAACTTTGACCAATGTTTGGTTACCGATACCCGTAGTTATTTCCGAGTTCCTAATCAAAGACACAGTTCAGACAGGCCGCGGGAAATCGAGATAGAGTTCCATTGAGTGGCTCATGGAATGGAACTGACTGAGGAGGCCAAGGCTGACGTATTTTGTCACCTCTTGGCGGACCCGGACCCCGTCTTCGGCTTCGCCAGGATCATCTCTGGGTCATTCTTTGGTCATTTTTCTGGATTTTTCCCTTGGGCCCCAAGGCAAGGTCACGCTGCCCAACAGCAGGGAACGGCCCCGTCCCTATTACCCAAGCCTGGGGCTCTGGATTTGTTCACCGGACACGGCGGACAAGGGAATACGGTGGCGATTTACGAGATTGATCTGATGAATTGGTTGTCATGATTGGCCAGATTATTTTTTTAGTCGTCTTCCTTTTTCTGAGCTGCTGACTTGGTAGAGGGGCTTACGAGAGGTCATGACCCCGGGATAATAGCTTGTTTTCATGACGGCGCAAAAGCTTCAACAAGGGCCACGGGGAACAAGCGACGACGGGTGGCGCAGAGTTTCAGACCCCTTCCATCCATTGCCGGCTCCCTCGATGCATTTCTCCCCACCCGGGTCAAGGAAAAAACGAGACACCAATACAACAAACAGATTTACTTACCCTTCTCTAAATATAATCAATAAAATTAAGAAAAATAGATAAAAGATCTCTAAAGTATTATAATTATTTTAAGATATTTCTAAGAGTTTTATTATAATTATAGAAAATTATCTATTAAATCTTAGATGAGTTAGTTTATATTCTCTGCCGTTCTGGTGTCTCGTTTATTTCTTAACCTGCGTGCTCCCTTTCAGCTCTGAGCTAGCCGCGCCTAAAAAAACGCTCCCTCTCTCTCGGACTGCTCCGTTTTCGCGCCACGAAACGAGCAGACGCGCTGCAAGAGACGGACCACTCTCAACGCATCTCGTCATTTTCCCCCGTTATCGCACCGTCCCCACCAGGGCCCTCGCCCTCAGGCTGGTGCTGGCTCGAATCTCGACCCCAGTCGGTTGCATCTGGTGGTCTGTGAGATGGGATGGGATGGATGTTTCTGTATGCGCGATTGAAACGGCGTCTCGATTCGATCTAGTGCGGGGCTCTCTTTCCGTTTGGTGGGCATTGGAAGCTGGGGGGTGTCATGTGATGCCCCAGGCCGCCCGCCAAGATCATGACATCTTGGGGCGGCTCTTGGTCAGTCGGCCCAACAGTGTGAGTTCTTCTTTGTGCACTTGAGAGTATCGTCCAACACCCAACAACAACCGCCTTGTCATTGCGACCTGCTGCCGAAGAAGCGATCGCCCGGATGCCGTCTCCGGAGGACGGACGGATATCTCTCACCCTCTCTCGTGGCACCGTGGCACCATGACCCCCGTGGCATTCTTTGGTGGCATTTCCTTAGACGCACATGGCTTGGATTGGTTCATGCTCTCCCGGTCTGGAGCTTACACATTCGCACAACATGTCACTTGCGACCATTAGCAGTCTCGCCCGGTGTCGCCTTGCCACGTCCAAAGCTTTCAGTCGCTGACCGAGCTTGAAGCTTCTGCCCACAAATGGCTCTGAGCCTCGTCATCTCATTCCATCATCATAGCCAACTCATCGCTCATCAGCTCTGTGTTATGACACAATGAAACCCTCGAGACACGTTTTCTGGCTGACCCTGTTGAATGGTTCGGTTCAGGGCTGGCTGGCTGGCGTGAGACGGGAGATGCGACACCCTTTCTTTTCCAACCCTCACCCATACGCCTCCGCACCGACCTCGTGCGCGCTTGATCTCGGGCTCATGTCCCCTGGATCGTGTACAGTATTGAGATGAGACGGCTCTCTGGCAACTTCCGCTTGGCTGTCGATCCGTGATCCATCCATATCTTGCTACGTGCCATGGCCTCAAGCTTTGGATGAGGTAGGTACCCGGTACTGCACTGTATCCATCTCAAAGTAGGGTTGATTGGCGCGGGACGCTATCTCTGCTCCTTTCTTTTTCCTCTTCTGCATAACCTTCTTTGATTTAGGGGCGTGTTTTTAGATGCGGGAATCCACGAAGCAACCGTCGATATGCTCAGACAGAATGCCCTGCCATGCCATGCCCTGGCCCCGCCTAGATATGCGACCATGCGCGTGCTGCGAGACGATCCGCAAGAAACAGCCGGACCAAAACAGCAGGCTGGGAATTTATCCAAGCACAGCGCGGCTGTCAACGGCCCTGCAAGTGCTCTGCAGCAAGACCATGAGGATGCTGCATCCTGTGAACGGTGGAATTGAGTTGGCCGTCTCATGATCGATGCCCTTGATCCGACAGAGGGGGCGCAAGCATTGACCTTACCCTAGGACGCAGTGCATACATGGCATGGACATCACGGCGGCGTCGATTCAATGCTACTTTGTTGGTCCGACTTCCCCGGCGGCCCGGACGGTGCAAGGGTTGCAGAAGAGCATGGAACAAGATGAACTTTGTTTCGTTTCACGCACACAATTTTTCTGCAGAATTTTGTGCGCGAAACAACCAAACCAAGGCCTCAACTTGCTTGGTTGCGGGAGAAGCGGGCTTTGATAAGCCGACCATCCAACACCTCTCCACCACCAAGAACCCAGCTACTGGCGGCACGTCCCATCCCGCCGTCTCCTCCTCAACCTCCATCTTGCAAGACACCCAGCGAACCAAGGCAGTTCTGCCCGGCCTTCCCTGCTCCATCCCGGTTGCCATTGTCCAATAAGTCGAGCCGCTGATCTACCCCGACTTTTAGCGAGACATTCCCTATCTTGTCAGAGGCATGTTCGCCTCCTTGGCCTGGAGATGTGCATATCGCCCGCCGAGCCGCAACCGGCCAATCGTGGCTCGTCTATCGACAACGTGCCTCGACTGCCCGCTCCATGACGCTCAAAACTCAATCTCAAACCCCGGCCGGTCTTCATTATTCTGGAGGCGCGAATTCCCCCGTTGCATTTAGAATGACGAGGCGAGCTAAATTGTCACAAGTGAGACAGGCTCTTCATCGTTGGGCCAACGCCAATTCAGGGGAAGGGGAAGCGAGAAGCTCTTTGGAACGATAATCACACGAGGTTGTCGTGTGCTGCCTCTACTTCTCGAGGCTAGTCTGGTCTGACAGCCATGTCCACCATATGGGAAAGTTTAACCACATCTCCCACAGCCCGACGCCCAGAGATTCAAATCTGGATATCCGCGGGAGTAGGGGCACGGTCTCGATCATGCTCGAGTCCCAATGTTCCCCCACCCTCAACCTCTCCTGTATCTGGTCCAGCACACACGGACTGCCCTCCCTGAGCAGATGAAGGTGGAACAGATGGGTACAAGCCCACAAAGCTCGATGTCGTCTGACTCTAGAAGATGGGGCTTGCTCTTGCAGCGACCACCCTAGTCGGAGTTGGTGACAGAGGAGACAAGAGACGACAACCCTAGTTATTGGCAGAGGGAACAGCAGGATTGCTACAACATGTTGCGTGGGCCACGCCCTCTCGGATCCGACTAATAAGCTGTCTCCTCCAGCGCAGGCATCCCGTCCCGGGACCGGACTGGACGGGCAGTGTGCTCCACCCGTCGCTCCGCCGGCGTCGCCCCGAGATATTCAGCCCTGAGACGTCGTCAACCACTTGGCCTCATACCTTTCAACACGGAGGTCGAATCCCCCTGAGTAGGATCATCTCCAGGGTACCTGTTACCGGAATCTTGGGACTGGGAACACTCTAGGCTTCGTTCCTCACCGACGTTAATCTCCCTGCCACCCGGAACGTCCGCTGACGCCGGCCGAGCTTCACCGCACTCTCGATCGAGCACCATCGTCGATCCGCGACCCGGCCACAGAAGGCCTCCCTCGCAGCCATGTGCTCCCCGGGACCCCAGATGGCGGCGGCCCTGCGCGCCTAGTCGTGGTTGCCATGGGGGGCGTGTGTCCAGGGCTGAGATGTACTCCGACAGCTGTTCTTGTACCCTTCTCCCCTTATCTTGGCAGCTCGGGGAGATTTGTTGGAAAAGAGTATTACTCGGCTCATCAGTTCCTGGCATATTGGCCCGCGGCGTAGGTTATGTTGGAAACAATACCCCGGGGAACCATCTGGCGAATCAGCTACGGCATCGCGCACTCATGGGCTCTGACAGCCAACGTAGGGGGCACAGGATGCACGTTTTTGATGGTCCCCCCTGAGACAAGAATAGGGTTTTTGCTTCTTCGTCATCATTGATATTACGAGGGGCGGTGTCGAGAAATGTTTCTTTTTACGTAGTTTCAAGATAATCGTAGGCCTGTAGTATCACGACCGTAGAGCTTCGACTATTCAACCACGTGAAGACATAGACAGAGTTTTCATCTTATGCAGCTTTTTGAATATGAAACAAAAAAAAATTGTCTACTCGAGGTATCTTTGCATACAAACGCCCAACTGTTGGGTAAACACCCATCCTCGTGTCATGGAATCGTGTCGTCCGTTTTGCCTTGCCTTGCCTTTCCCCCTGAACTCCTTGACATGCTTTGTCCGACCGGTGTACCGATACGTGAATAATAATTCATTCACGAAAAAAAAAACCCCCCATTTCAAATCCTTTCGCCTGATATCTGTCCTTGCCGTGGCTTCCGAGAAAAACAAGGCTTTCCATAGCGCCTTTAAAAAAAAACGTGCATTTGTTGGTTGACCATTCACCAAGGGCTCTGTGGCCCCTGAGCGGGTTGGGGTGTCTTGGTGTTGTCCACATCCCACTTCTCCAGAAAGTCGCCCATCTCGCGGAAAACGTCCTCCACCATGTCCAGAGGATCCTGTGACTCATCCGTCTCGCGGTCGCTCTTAGTGTGATCCGCCAAGTGGTGCTGGTTGCTGTTTTGCTGCTGCTGCTTCTGTCGGAGTTGGTCGGCCGTGACAAACGTCTCCGCCATAGCGTCCGGTTCAGGACTTCCGACTGTCCGCTGCGACTCCGAGGGTAGTAGGCGCTGGTAAAAGGCGTTCCCATGGGCCATGCTGCTCCGACGGGCTACAGCGTTGAAGTGCTTGCGGAACTTGGCGTCCTCGGAGGTAGGGAGGTCCTCGATTGGGGTTGTGGGTGGAGGGGACGCTGCGCGGGCTGGGACTGCCAAAGGCGTTGGCGTTGCCGGTATGCTTTCCTGTCCCTCGGTTTCATGAGGTAGAGGCGCCCATGACACACGACGCTGTGAACTGTTGCGTTCCCAGGGGTTCTTGGTCGCCGAGGCCAAAATGCCCTGTGTGCTGGGAAGACGAGAACCTGAATCTCTCCAGCTGGCCCGTCTGACTTTACGAGGGCGGCTTTCGGGAGAAGACATGAACGAAGCGAATGACTTGACGGAAAACTGCGGTTCAGGCATAGCAGGTCGAGCGACTGGAGCTGGGGTGATAACCGGAGCCTCGTTCTGAACTTGAGCATTGGCATTCAATGCCATCTCAGGAGTGTTTGGCACATCAACTGCCATGTGATCTTCCTCGGCAGTGGTTGGTATGTGTGTCTGTCCCATCATGGGCATCCGGGTCGTCCCCTCTGTCCAGGGGGTCTGAGCTGCTGGAGATGTCATCGCCAACGAGTCGTGTGTCTTGTTCAGCGGAGTAGATTCTTGAGCGCTATCGATTGTAGGCAGTCGATCCATTGCCATTGATGCGTATTGTGATAGCTTGCTTTCCGCCCAAGGACTCTGCTGAGAAAAGGGAACTGGCAAGTCTCCTTTGGGGTCTTGCTGGTCAACATCCATGGCATCGTGTGCCCTTGGAGGCGTTTGTTGAACTTCCAATTGGGGCGTCGTAGCTTCAATGACATGAATACCAATGGGCGGCATGATTGAAGATGGCGTTTGCTCCAATTCTACAGCTTTGGGCCCGGGATTGGGACTCGGCACTGTTTGATAGCCATTTTCATCTCCATTGATGGGGCTCGACAGTTGCTTCTGCGAGGGAGGAACGCGTGCATTCGATCCAATCCGGCTCAATACCTTGGTTGTAACCGGGGTGTTGGGCAATGGAGTATTGCTTTCTTTGCGCTGCAAACGGCGAGCGGTGGGTGACGCGAGAGGGCTCTCGGCAATGCGAGCGAACTTTGACCAAGAACTCTGCGAAATGTGTTTCTTCACAGAGCTCTTCAGGAGGGAAACTCCGTGGGAAGGGCTGGCGATTGAAGTGTTGGCTTGAGGTGGTGTACACTGAACTGACGATGCCTTGTTCTGGTCCTTTTGAGGCGAAACTTGTGCAGACTTGTTCCCGGATGCCGTTGATGAATTCGTAGAATCTCCTTCCTCCTGGCCGGTTTCGTCTTCCGTCGTTTCGTCCTCGGAATCTGTCGTCTCTTTAACTCGGCCCGAATTGTCGTCTACAACCGCAACGTAGATTGCCTCCCTTTGTGGTTCGGCATCCGGCTCTTCGGAGCCACTGGAAGACTCGGTATCGACAATCTTGACCATCTCTTCCTCTGGCGTAGGAGAAGACATTATCGCTGTGTCTGACCCAGTCTCGGACGAATCGCTGGCAGTATCTACCTCGCAAGGGTCGTCCGGTGTTTCTTCAGAGAGATCGAACCCAGTAAACTCTTGACTGGAAATTGACGACAGATCACTTGACATTCCCGGCTTGTCCAAGTCCATCGGTCCGGTAACAGGGGCATCGGCCATATTGATATCCAGCCCCTCGGTGTTGGGCTTGCCTCGAGGTGTATCGTCGTCCTGGGCGAGTACTCCAGAGGCTTCGTCCACAGATGACAAGCCGGACCAAGATTCCTCTTCACTGACGCTGGTCTGGAGATCTCCAGCAGATACTGATGTTGGAACAAGAGAACTTGTTTCGACGATTTCAGTTAATGCGATATGCTTTGGGCGCATCTTGAAGCAGAAGCTTTGATCTTCTTGTGTTTCAAAAGCCGGCGAGGGACTGGAAGATTTATCGTCTTCTGAGGAGGATAGGGACAGATAAGACTCTGCATCATAGTTTTGTGAAGGTTGTTGACTGGGGGACGCTGGCTTGATTTGACTTTGTCGTTGCACGCTGTGTTGAGAACAATTGGTACTTTGACCGGTGGCTGGCATGTGTTGTCTTTGCGATATCGGCGATGATAAAGTGGCGGCAGCCTGCATTGACGCAGTATTATCGCGAGAAAGTTCATCTTCTGCATGCTTGGCTTCTTCGTCTTGGGCGCATTTCCCGAGATCGCGAACTGGTGAGATGCGCTTGACCGAGGCGTTGGAAGAAACAGCAGATGACCGACGATCTGGCTCAACCAGTTCATCTGTGTCTGTTGCAGCTTGAGTATCTCCCTCCCAGTCACTAGCTTGGGACAGCGCAAAGAATCTGTTGGCAGCAAGAGCCGAGGAAGGTAGACGATCCGGGACGCTGTTGAAAGATATAGTCGGCGCATCACCATAGTCATCCTGATCGTCGACAATGGTGATGGGATGTGATCGTTGTGGGACAGGGGTGTTGTCTGTACGTCGTCGTTTGGTGGCCAAATGCTTTAGCCATGATGATCCCTTTGCCTTCCTCTTTCTCGCTGACAATGATGACTGTGGTGTTGATGTCCAGAACCGGTCTCTTGTCACATCTCCAGGTTCTATCGCTTCCCTCCACTCTTGGACCTTAGCTAGTTCATCTTCCTCCAAATACGCATGCCCTCCTGCAACTGAAGACTGTTTGAGGCTCTCAGGGCTTGGCAAATGGCACTCTAGGCTGTCGCCTGGTACCGTGAGGATCGTCTCAGGAATTGACACATTGCGCTTCACTTGTGCCGACCTCAATAATTTGCCTGGTGATGTCCGTACTCCTTGCGATGTCCCGGATGTGCGGTGTTTGGATCGCCACGGGTTCACCCAACGGCCGGATTTTGAGTCGAACGGGCCCTTAAGTGATGCTGTAATAAGGAAAGGTGTCTTTCCGTCGAGGTATCGCTGCCCAGCTTCTTCGTATCGTAGTTTGCGCGAGATTGGATTATCGTAATCCTCGTCATCCGATCCCTCATACAAGACATCCTCGGGGGCGCATGTCGCTTCGCAGTAGATCGTATCCTCCCCCCATTCTAACGAAAGCTCATCGGCTGATGGATCGACGCGCTGCATGATGTCGGCGTCAGAGGGTGTTGCCCTCGCTGTCAAAGGTCGTCGTCCTGAGTAGGTACATAAATAAGTCGGTAGTGTTCCAGGAGGCGCAAAACGTCGTTATCTCGGTTGATCGGCCCGCATTTGTCGTCACCTGTGCGCTGTGTTGTATGCTTGGCCGTTGATTGATTTTCACGCCGTCGCCAGGGGAGACGCGCCCCCGCGTTTCTCACGTGAGAGCGCGTAAAGTGGTTTCGTGAAAGTCGGCACGCCGCCTCGAATACAGGCGAAAGGAGTCAAATGAAGTTGATCATGCCGTGGATGATGTCCTGAAGACTCAGGAAGATGACGTTGAGACTTTTGCCGACCGTTTGCTCAGGCCGATTGCGTGCAGAGAGCTAGAAATAAAGAAATCGTGACCCTGCACGTGATCTGCAGGAGGAATTCCGCCCACGATCAGCTAAGATCGCAGAAAGGGCTAACCAAATAGCCTAACCATAAGCAAATAAGGGGATAAATAAGAGAAACAGAAGCATAATCACACTCTAATATTCTTGAATTATTTATAATGATTTTCTTGAAATTCTTAGACCTTAACTTGAATCTTTTGCCATGATATTTAGGGAGGCTTAGGTAGTGTATCATGCTTTTCCCCACTGCGTGGTTGACACAGCAACCAAACGAACCCCAATCAACACCCCTGTCTTGTTTATTCGTTTATTCCAGACTCTAAGCTCAAGGATACGCGCAACATCACCTCGCGATCTTGACTTCCACATGGTTCTTTCTGTTTGATATCTTGTTAAGACCTCATGGCTACCTCTTGAATCCCTACCATTCGCTCGTGTTTTAATACATCTTCATTTCACTATCCCGCTACCACCCCTCGCCTGGTCGAGTACACACACGTCGCGACGCATAAACAACATCAAGCTTTGCGACCCCGCAGTCGATCGCATTTCCTCTTGTTTGGTTTATGGAGTCGCATTGACACTTCCTGCCTTGACTTACCCTTTGAGGCGTCGCCATGGAGCACGCTTGGTTGGACTCCTTGTCCGAGGACTGGCCCTCCCAGGTCGGATCCGATGCATCAGCTGTCCAACTTCCTCCTCTCAAAGACATCGACTCCTCCAAGACCAAGTCAAGAGAGACACCGAGTCGGATACCGCGTAGAACGTTTGGTCCGCGTCCTCAATTGGCACACCCCCACGATACCAGCGCCAATGTCCTCAGCGAGCGAACACAGAACGACATCAACATCTCGAGCCTTCGCATTGCCAAGCCGTCGCAGGAGTTTAGGCTTTCACGCGGAAGATACGCCAGCAGATCTGTCTCTGCCTCCACAAGTGGTTCTGTTGTTCATAACACGGTGCAACATAAGTCGTCACCAGGAAAGCCCCAGGATACACCAGAGTGGAAGCGACGTCTAGTGTACGGGGACGTCCAGTACGGAGAGCAGCGCGACCTGTTTTGCTCCGCTGCGACCGGCCTTCAAGACATGTTTAAACCACCATCCGCCCCCGAAGATTACGGAGATGACGAGGAGCAACCTGAAGCTGAGTCTTCAGTGATGCCGTCTAGCCCACCCTCGTACCCCCAACGTATCACCAGCAACGACGTCAACACGGGACTGGACGCCTTGGATGAGCTGGATGAACTTGAGGACGAAGAACCAGCATATCCCAACGAAGTTACACCAAGCCCAAGCCCCAGGAGGGCGAAGAGAGAAATCAAGTACAAGCTTAATGTGGAGGATTCCATGGCTTCGAGCCAACTCAGCTTAAGAGATGACGAGACACCTTCACGACAACGAGAAGACATTTACCGAGACGAAAGCTGCTTGAGCGCCTCTCAGGATGCGGATGGCAGTGTTCGGAAACTTAGTGGCCAGAGCGTGATTCGCAACGAGGACTTTAGCCCGATCCTCATCGGCAAACAGAGCGACAAGGATGGCAAGATGGACTTTGCACCTATCGAACTGCCAGCCGACACATTGAAACAGAAACTCGAGGCTCTACGCATCAACCAGATGTTGCTCGACCCGACTGTTGATCCCCAAACAGGATTCGACAAGACTGACGAGGGAGCATCTGGCTCTATGGAGGACACTGAGGAATACGCACGCAGGGGAGGCTTCCTGAATTTGCAGAGAGGAGGCCGATCCGGGGAAGGCTCTTTCCGCTATCGCGACCTGAGCCCGGGCCTGGGCGTTGATACTAGCGGAATGCTTCCTGAAGAGTCACTGCAGGCCAGCACTCCTAAGCAGTTCCCTTCTGTCCGGACGGAAATCACCAACCCATACCAATCCGATTATTTTAACCTGAGCCCTGCAATGCCTCGGGCTCCTTTCCCCAGCCCCGATAAGCGGCAGATGGCTCCCGGACACAGGCCCTCGTCCGCTACAAGCCCTCTAAAGCTCTTCGGCCCTTATGACACCTTTACCAACCAGACACTCCTCCGACGGATCAGTCAATTCGAGGAAGGGATGTCTGCAACCCCATCCCGGCAGTCTCTTGGCTCTCCAGCTCATACAGACCAGGCGAGCCCTCCAGTCCACCAAGGGCCTGTGGCGTCTAGTCCTGTCGCACAAGCTCACCAGACGCCTGGCATGAGGTCAGTCAGCCAGTTTGGTGGAAGCGATCTCGAAGGATACGAATTCAGTGAGGACATTTCTTATGTCTCACAAGCAGGATCCCCCTACTCGGATAAAGAGAACGCCGCTCCCAACCCTCTCTCGTCACACCCCGTCGAGCCATTATTTGAGTACCCAGAGTCCCCTGGAGATGATTCTGAGCTCCTTGTTCGCAGGCGACGAAACAAGTCCATGTCTTCGTCTAGCAGCAAACACCACCGGACATTTTCGACTTCTAGCGTGATTCGAAAGAATCTCAGTTCGGCAAAGGGCGGCCCAGACAATGCCAGTACCCCCAAGCGTGACTCTGGCTCAGAGGGCAAGAGGGCGCGGACCTCACCGTCTAAAGATCCTACGCCCAAGCGTCGACGCACACTTCATCGTTCCGATATCGCCTTTGGTCGTGAAGACTGGCTGGAAGGTGTAGAATCCGCATCTCGCGACATGCAATCGGCCATGGGGAAGAAGCGCAAGGATGCTCGACCTGGAGACTTCCAATTGGCGAACCCAAGTGTTCTTGCTATGAGAACCATTCTTCGACCTCGTAGCCCTACACCAAGTCGCGGGTCTTCACAACGCAGTGATCAAAGCCCGGTGGCCAATTCCGAGGACGGCGATACCCGCCAACTACCGAAGAAGTCCCCAATCCGGCCACTTCAGAACGAGAGCATGGCCAGCGATGCTCCTGGCGAGACAGACCGGAAGCCGTCGATTAGGACTCAGGACTTTGTTGACCAGGCTGCTCAGATCATGGCCATGATCCGCAACCAGGTGAAGCCGCCTGTCTTGTCAAGCGTGGAGGAATCGGAAGCCGAGTGTACGCCCTCTGCTGAGGACCCTGACTCCTCTTACCAATCGACGGGGGAGCCTTTCTCTCGACCTCCCAGCCGTGAGGGCAGACCTGTGACGAGACTTCCGCAGCGTCAAGAAGACCCTGAGCTCATCAACCGATTGAAAAAGTATCAGGAACTGAGCGACATGGGGGATATCATCTCCTCATCCATGCGATCTATGGGCCTCGCACAGGATGCGATCCGCGCTGCTTTGGAGATTGAACGCCAGATTGACGAGAACTCGCGCACCAGATCCGATGTTCCATATACCACCGACGATGAGGCCATCAGTGACCCGCCTAACATTCGGTTGTCCTTCAATCCTGCTCACAATGGCACGCCTCCAAGCCCGACACGAGACTACCATTCTCATTCCTCGGCCGCTTCGACATATCCAACAGGATCTTCTCGTGGTTCTGACACGCGCAAGACCATTATGCCGGAAAGCGTATCACATCTTATCCCAGATCGAGTTGGCAGTATGTATCTGGACAAGCAGAATAACATTTGGATCAAGAAGAAGGAAACACCAACTCGTCGCCGGTCCAGCAACATCCTGCCCTCAGATAGCGAGGATGACCCATTCGCTAGCATTCCAGATCTCTCTGTTGACCTAACCAGGGAGATGCAAAACCTGCAGTTGACCACAGCTAAGAAAACGGACGCAGCAGGCAGCCCAAGCCAGGCAAGGTCACCAGTCAGCCCTTCCAGGGCACCACGGCCTCGGTCCAGTCGAGGCTACACCACCTTGTCTCCCGATGGACAACTCAGCCCGAACGTGGCAAGCCTTGCTCGAGAAGAGTTTCAGAAACTGGATGCGCGCGTCATGGAGGATTCAGAGTTGGAGATGAATGAGTCGGTTGAAGGCTCGACCGATATTCATTACGACCAGGCCAGCAACACGCCCTCGACGACCACAAAGAGACGCAACCTCACTATCACGTTTTCCTCGCCAGTGGCATCCGTCATCCAGGACGTGGTGGCAGAAGACTTGGACACTCTTGAGGACGACCCAGAACTGCCGGAGGGACATCTCAGCTCCAATCCAACCCCCAAGAAATCACCAGGTTATCCCAGCATTGGCAAGTCAGCCCTCAAGAACGGCGGCCAAGGATCAGTGCGCAGTAACCGTGCTGTATCACGAAGTGTTGCTTCCAGCGGCCCGGCTTTCATCCCAAGACCTGTGTCGCGCATTGACGAACAGGACGAGGAGAGCACAATTGAAGTCCCGACTGAAGACAGACAAATCAGCATCATTGGTGAGACGAGCGTCATCAGCCACAAGACACCCGATGGCCGTCGTGCCAGCCTTAGCTTCATCGTCAACCACACGCCACGTAACAACAACCTGCTGTCAGTTCCTCCGGATGACAGCGCTCTTCTCGGGCAAAACGTTGGAAAGCTCTCCCTTAGCCCATTGTCTGAGTTCACTCTTAACAACTCGGACCAGTCGTTCGGCTTTGAGGTCAGCTATGTTATGGGACGTCGACACATGGCAACCGGTGATGGCTCTAAGAAGGTCATGTCCATGACGATACGGGAACTTGTGGACAAGCTTAGTGAGGTTGAGCCCTACGAACCCTACTGGGAGGACATTACAGACTTGGATTTGCATGAGAAGCGGCTAGGAAGCCTTCACATGCTTGATCAATTCTGCGGCAAGCTGGTGACTTTGGATGCTTCCAAGAACACGCTGGGACATCTGGATGGTGTGCCGTCAAGTGTGCGGCAGCTCAAGGTGTCACAGAACATGCTCACTGAGTTGACGTCGTGGGATCACTTGATGAACCTTCAATACGTGGATATTTCCGGCAACGAGGTCAAGAGCCTGTCGGCACTCAAGGGTCTAGTACACTTGCGAAGCATCAAGGCTGACAACAACCAACTGACAAGCCTCGATGGACTTGACACCCACGATGGACTCCTTACTCTTCGAGCTCGGGATAACCTGATCGAGGAAGTCGACTTTTCACGAGTCAAGATGGAGCGCCTCACTGAGCTAGATCTGAGCGGCAACCAAATCTCGTCAGTTCGGAATCTGGAACTTGCACCAGCGCTGGTACGACTGAGGCTCTCCAAGAACAGGCTCGAAGGCTTCACGGTGGCTACAGACGTCAAGGGGCTTCGTCAATTGGATCTCAGCGACAACAAACTCACCTCTCTGGATATTAGCAACCTACCCAACTTGCACTCGCTGCATGCTGATCGCAACCGCATTGTTGACCTGGAGGGCTTCAACCGAGCTCGACGACTTGACAGCCTGAGCCTCAGAGAGCAGTATGGTGAACAATCGCTTGATCTCAGTTTCTTGTCGGAAGCTTATGAGGTCCGAAAGCTCTTCCTTTCTGGGAACTACTTGGGCTCGTTTGAGCCGACGGTTGACTTCCTCAACCTTCAGCTCCTGGAGCTGGCGAACTGTGGCCTCCAAGCATTGCCAGACAACCTGGGCCAGCTGATGCCCAACCTTCGGACGTTGAACGTCAATTTCAACGCGATTCGTGACCTGGAGCCGCTTCGCTTCATTCCCCGTTTGAAGAAGCTCTTGGTGGCCGGCAACCGACTTGCCGACTCGACCATGGTAACGGAGCTGCTCATCGAGTTCCCCCATCTCACACAACTCGACCTGAGAGATAACCCGGTAACAATCGGCTTCTACCCCACGATGCAGGTGATGGTTTCCAGGGATCGCAACGAAGCCGTAGATCCGTTCGTGCTCCCTGATGCCGATGTTGAGCGGGACGAGCTGTTTGCTAAGCGACTGGACGAGATGACCAAGTTGAGGCGAAGGTTGCACCAAATCGTGTTTGTGGCGAGCTGCAAGAGATTACGAAAGCTGGATGGCCTCGCCATCAACCGAGAGGCGGTTCTTGCCAAGGATGGGGTGTTTCAGACGCTGGTGGCCGAGGGCCTGCTACCAGACGAGACACTTGTCGGCGACGATGCTCCAAGCTGCAAGGATGCGGCGGTTGAACCTGAGACGAATCACGGGATTGACACGTTGAGGAGCAGCCGGTGGAACGCAGAAGACAGCTTTGCCTAAGGCGAGGTAGAGCAAGTGCGTGCATGCATGCATGAGGATTCATTGCAATGTACGAGTGCGCATGAGGAAGAGGACGTGTCCTGAGTTATGCATATTTGCGGCGTTTGTGGAATTTTGTGGTCCTTTTTTTTTCTGATAGATGATAATGAAGCGAACCAAAGAGTGTCGAGCAAGGGAGAGGAAATTGGCAAAAGGGAACGGACACGGCATTACCAGGAGTAAGGAAGGCAAGGCAAGGCAAGGCAAGGACAGGACACGGATAAATGGTTTTGATTATCACGAGCAATTATGCTGCATACCTGAGTTGTATGAATACAACAGACATGAGAGAGCACCCATTCCATTGAGTTGAGTTGAGACGAGACGCGCGGGCTATCTTTCTAATTAATCGCATTGACAAGGGAGGTGTGTTATGCGGATGATGGCCAGGGCGACGACAGGCCGGGCATGGGTTAGAATGGACATGGACTGGCCGTAGGTGAGACTCAAGGGTACCATGTGCAAGCGCGTCTTCTGGCTGCAGGATGAAGTCACGCTGATCACGGAGCAAGCGCACCGACGTCAGAGATACGCAGTCGACCATTTGTTGAAGATGAAGCTTTTGCATGATTGGATCCCTGACTGGTGCCGTTGGATAGGTTGAAGGCTTGAACGAATACAGGCAGCATCACGAAAAATTATCGTGTGACCACGAAATTTTTTTTTTTTTGAGTAAAAATGATGTTTCTTTTCTTTTTAACACTTGTAAGAATTTTTTCATGAAAAAGTTTTTTCTGGTTGTCCTTCGGCACTGGGTAAGACAGGAAACAAAAGAGAAGAAAAAAAGCAAACCATTCGGGGGGGGGGCGTGTGTAGCAAGTTCTGGAATCTTGCCGCAGAAGAAAAGAAAAGCCGACGTTTCTTTTGAGGATGGAATTCTCTTGCTGTTGGCCAGACGTAACCCAGGGGGATAACATTTGCAAGAGAAGGACAAGAGATGACAAGAGATGAGCATCTCGGTCATAAGGCTGGGTAGGTAGGTAATTTGGGACGGGACGGGATAGGAGACGGGAGATATGGATGCTGCTAGCCCTACCCAGCAACTATCCCTTCTTTTAGAAAGGAGCTTCTTTATCAAGCTTCTAGGGCCGTGGGACTTGGCTTGGGGGGTCCCCGTTGGGCGCGTGTCCCAAGTAGAAACCCAACCGTGGAGCCGGCTCCAGGCGAGCGGTACAACTTACAGCACGGTAATAGCTCAGGGCGGGCAATTTCACAGGTTTTTGGCAGGGGTCGTTAATCGCATCTTCTCGCCCGTCTGTCGCAGGAGAGGTCGTCACGGGCCAACACATTCCCCCATGCCTTAGCAGAAAAAAAACAAGACCAGGGCCAATCGCTAGGGCACAAACGCACTTTAAAGAGGTACATACCTTGACGGACCAGGGTGTGTTTGTCGTGACTGACTCTTGCTTCATCTTGGGGTAATTTTACGACATGGACAACCCAACAGAGGGAAACTGATGAGAGATTTTGCTGCTGCATCTGTTTGCAAGAAGCCTCTTTTCAAGATTCAACTGCTCGTCGGATCTGAAACTTGTTATTATTCGCTTCGCCTACGTTGTGATAGCAGAAACAAGTCATATCAGTCATAGTCACAGGCTGACGCCTGCTACAAATGGGAGGTACCTGCTGTACTTTCTACTTTCGGTACTTGCCCCTCGGTTAGTGCCAGCCCGTGGGTGGGAGCTCTCCCTCCGATCGCACACCCCCTCAAGCCTCACACCCTTTGATTGATTGATCCATTGCTTGCTTGCTTGCCCTCGCTCGTTCTCTCTCGCTTCCCTTCTCCTCCCCTTCTTCTCTACCAACTTTACTCAACCTTGTTTACCAGCAGCAAAATCCCAATCGATCGATATATCTCTACATCAACACAAATTCACCGTCAGATTCCGCTGACCCCCAGGCCCAGCTATGGCGACGGCCATGGAAGCGGCCGACGCATCACCGCCGTCGCCCCTCCAGCGGTCCGTCTCCCAGCATAGTAGCACCTCGCTCGCATCCCATCGCAGCTCCCGCAGCAATCGCAGTGCCACCGTTCGAGGTCCCCGCGGACGGAAGCGTCTCAGTCAGGCTGGCAGCTCTGCTAGCAGCATTGCTGCTAGTGACAAGTCGCTCACGAGCTTCCCCAGCTTCTCGCCCGAGATACCAAGCAACGACCGTTTCGAGGAGCCCACCTGGGCCAAGTCGACGAGCAAGCCGCCCAGCACTGACGACACGCTTGCCCCCAAGGCCGTGCCTGCCTCTGGCCGCCCCTCCATCGTTGACAACCTCACTGCAGACTCACGTGCGAGGAGCGCTTTATTCGAAGATGCCCCGCTGATGCGCAAGGTCCCCGGTTCCCTCCACCAGGCCGATGACGAACACATTCAACGCTTGATTTCCAGACACGGCGCCATTGGTCTGATTAGGCAGATTTCGGAGGATCTTGCTCAACGGGATGCTCAGATTTCCCACATGCGACGACGCGCTGATGAGCGAGAGCGTGCTCTGCGCAAGATAATTAGAGAATGCGGTCTCTCCAACCTGGATCTCGAGACACGGCTACGAGCTGTCGAAGCTGACCTGCGCGGCCCTGGAAAAGGTCTGCAGAAGGAGGATAGTGGCTTGAGCGACCTCATGAGCGACGCGATGCAGGATACAGTTGTCGCTACTGCCTACGGCGAGACAGGCACCAAGAGCTCCACCATCCGCGCCAGCAGCCAGTCGATCAGCAGCAACACCGAGGGCGGAAAAGGCACGTTGAGGGGGTGGAAGGAATATCTCTGGGGCTCGGGGACTGCGAAACGAGGAAGTCGGACCAACAGCGTAAATGGCGAGGGGGTCAACCCGGCAACTGTGATACGATCACACTCTAGCATGGATCGACGACCAACGCTTCAGGACGATCTCTTCAGCCCACCCGAGGCGCAATCTGTGCGGACCCCTAGTCGGGCATCGAGCATCCAGTCTGGCACCCCCGGCGAGCGCAAAGCATCATCTTCGTTGGCAAGCATGGCCCTGCGGCTGGTAGCTGGCGGTGCCATAAGCGGGCGTGAGGCTGAGTCTCGAGGTCGCGCTGTGAGCACTTCTACCAATGCAGAGTCTCTCCGGGCTGCTTCTAGTGCTAGCAACCGGACTGGCCAGCCCCGAGCGGTGTCAGTCGCTGGAGGCCCCAAGGCGTTGATGGCAATGCGACGATCTACTCCTGCACCCTCTGCTCAGGGAGCGAGGGGACAGGCGCAGGACGGATGGGATAGTTTGCGCGGTAGTCCCCCAACTAACCTATCTTCACGACAAGAGAGTTATGGACCTGTCGAGATGGACGCCATTCGATCCCCAGAGTCACAGCCTCCGACTCTTACGCATATCTACAACAACTTTCCAAACAGCGAATATCTGACAGATCGGTTCGGCTTCATCTACGACCAACGGCGGAAGAAGCGACAGCGCGAGGCAGCTCAAACGGCGCGGCACTTGCGAAAGGGCAGCCGCACTGAGATGTTGCACAATGGTCGCACCGGCATCTCTCCCAGCTCTTTCGAGGACCTTCCTAGCCCCAAGCATAGCGTTTCAAGCGACGGACGCCCAGAGAGCCCGAACAGTTTGGAGGAGCGGAACGCAGAGGATGGCAAGTCGAAGAGATGGCAGGATTACCTCAAGATCGCGACGTTTCCCACAGAGCTACTAAGCCATACGCCAAGCATCGCCGTGTCACTAGAGGTGATGGAGGGAACCCAGACGCCCGAGCCACAGTCTCAGACTAGCGAACCCACCAAGCCAGCCATTGTTTCTACCGACTCTGGACTCATTCCTTCGGCTAGCACGACAACGGCTGTTGACAACGAAACACCACAGGTGTCACAACCTGAGTCGTCAGCTGCCCTCGCCAAGGACGACACCGAACCTGTCAAGCTTTTGCTACAGCAGCTTAGTGAACTGCACGATTCACTACAACGCGAAAAGACGGTGCGATGGAACGACTTTCTCCGAAAAGTGCGTGCTGAGCGTCGTCGCGACGGTGAAGCTGCAATCGCTGCCGCCAGATCTGCTGCCGAGGCTCGCTATGAGCAGCCCGCCATGATTTTGCCCGAGACGCGCGTTGCCGACGGCGAGATGATTGGAGTTTCGGACCTGGGCAACAAGGGCAAGGTCGGAAGGGCCAAGTGGAACGAATTCAAGAACCTGGTGCTTGGTGGCATTCCCGTTGCTTATCGAGCCAAAGTGTGGTCCGAGTGCTCGGGAGCTGCGGCTCTACGTGTTCCTGGCTACTACGAAGACCTGGTGGCCCAGAGTGGCGAGGATGACGACGCTGTGGTTGTCAGCCAGATCAAGATGGACATCAACCGAACACTGACGGACAACATCTTCTTCCGCAAGGGTCCAGGTGTCAAGAAGCTTAACGAGGTTCTTCTCGCGTATGCCAGGCGAAACAAGGATGTCGGTTACTGCCAAGGCATGAACCTCATTGCCGCTAACCTTTTGCTCATGATGCCGTCTGCCGAGGATGCGTTTTGGATTCTGGCGTCCATCATTGAGAACATCCTGCCGCATGGATACTACGACCACTCGCTTCTGGCTTCGCGTGCGGACCAGCAGGTTCTGCGACAGTATGTTGCGTCGGTGCTACCCAAGCTCTCGGCGCATCTCGACTCGTTGTCTATTGAACTCGAGGCGTTGACATTCCAGTGGTTCCTTTCCGTGTTTACAGACTGCTTGAGCGCCGAGGCTCTGTTCCGGTTGTGGGATGTGGTTCTCTGCACTAACGACGGCAGCACATTCCTCTTCCAGGTGGCCCTGGCACTACTCAAGCTCAACGAAGGGAACCTCCTGCAGTGCAACACGCCTGCCGGAGTGTACACGTACATCAGCCACCAGATGACGGAGCATGCTATCAGTATCGACGGCTTGATCCAAGCTAGTGAAGCGTTGCGAAAGGTAGTTCGACGAGATGATGTGGAGCAGCGAAGAGAAAAGGCGATCCAGGCGGAGAAGGATATGCTAGCGGCGAGAGACGGTGATTCAGGACGAAGCAAGCCCGCCACAGCATCCCTCGCCGAGACTGGGAGTGAGACGGCGGTAGAGACGCAGCCGAGTGAAGAACAGGCTTGAAGAGGGGATACAGGAAGTTGGAAACATTGGATTGGACAAAGGACAGGATTTGGAGTTTGCGTCTCATAAGGCCATGATACCCACCCACTGGACGAGCTGTGTCGTGTACACCTCGACAGGGGAGTTGAAGCATTGCGGCGTTTACATATTTTGTCAATTTGGTATGGCAGGCAAGGGTTTGGTTTTTTGAAAGGGGGCAAAGGCGTTTCCTGCTCGAAGCGAGGTTGTCTTTTTTGGCTTGAATAAAAGCGATGTCGTTTCTTAGCGGGCATACACGAAGGGTATACACCAGAGATACTATGCATCCTTTAGAGCAGAGGAATTCAAAGAAAATGATACAAAGATTCAACTCTATATGGTTACACTATCATCGTCTACAGCTTTGCCTTGGTCTCCTTGAGCCACTGCTCATACCAGACCTTTCCAAACTCTCTTCTCTCGTCCTCGCTCGCCTGGACGTCATCGAATCTCTTCTCGTGAGCCTCCCTGGAGGGACTTTTGAGAAACTCGATAAGCTCACTGTGCATCTCTGCCTTGAGCACACCATAAACACCAGACTTGCACTTTGACACCAGCTCCTTCTCCTTGATAAACGCCAACACATCGTCCAACCCCGTGACCACGCCGTCTGCGAGTCCGGCGGCTACGGCCTCCTCTGCGTTGAAGCGCTTTGCTTCGAGGACTAGGCTGCGGTAGGTTGTGGATGGGACCTTATGGCGGAAGAGGGCTGACATGGCGGGTTTGAGAGGGGCGCCGAAGAGGAGCTCGTTCAGGCAGAGGAAGCCTCGTGGGGAGGGGGCTAGGCGGTAGTCTTGGGCTGTTGCTAGCATGAGGCCGCCTGCAAAGGCGTGGCCGTTCATGAAAGCCACAGTCGGCATTGGGTATCTGGGCTTTGTTAGTGATGGTTGATGAAAGGAGGTGAGATGCATACGATAGGAAACGTCTCCAGACATCGTAAAGAAGATGCCAAAAGCCATCAGTAGCAACAGCATGTTCCAAGTCGAGACCATTACTGTAGAATTTTTGGATTCCGGATGTGGTGATTACAACGCCGTGGGGGTATCCAAACTCGAGGATATCAAGAGCGTTGAGAAAGGCCTTGAGAACAGGCTCGGTGAGACGGTTATCCGGCGGCGAATTCAGAGTTAAAAGGTACACGGCTGGCTCGGGTTCGGTGCATGTGAGCGTTCCGCCTACGTGAGGGCCGCATTTTGGGATTTGGAGTGTGAAGAGAGCCATTTTGATGAAAGAGTTGATGAGAGTTGAGAGGTGAGAGGTGAGAGGTGGTTTAGTTTTCTATATGAGGCTTGGGGGATTGATGAACATGGGGAACCTCGGCTCGAGGTTGGGGTACCTGGAGGCCGAGTCGGGGTGGTTGGATTCATCAAGATCTCGGTTCGATGTGGGTCATGTGCCAGACTTGGCTGAAAATCAAGTGTTATTAATCATTGTATATTTGTTAACCGGTAATACTATTGTGCCCTCTACCCTTGTCCTCTTTTTTTTGTGGTGTTTAGCTAGTTTGCATGTGAAAGACCATCATCAGCTGCCAAGATTGGACGGATCCTGGGGTAAACGAACCTTCTTCAGCTGCATCTCATGATGGAATTCCCCGCCCCACTTGCCATGACAGAAAGAATACGTACCTCTTTGAGGGTCAACCAATCACCTACTCCCTCCCCCACAGCTCATTTTCATCTCTGAGCTTCAGCTCCTGAATAGCGTGTCCCCCCACCATCAACACATACATACACACTCGTTCAAAGATGGTAGATCAGAAGAAGCCCGCCATCGTCTTTTTCCATCCTGATCTAGGCATCGGAGGCGCTGAGCGTCTTGTCGTCGATGCTGCTGTTGGACTTCAAGAGAGGGGACATCGTGTCGTCATCTTTACGAATCACTGTGATCCAAAGCATTGCTTTGAGGAGTGTCGTGATGGTATCATGGCCTTCACCTTTCACCTCTTATTTGTATAAAGCAAGCTAATTGTTTCTAGGAACCCTCGATGTTCGTGTTCGCGGTAATTGGCTAATCCCCATGTCCATCCTCTCCCGTCTTACCATCCTCTGCGCAATCCTTCGACACGTCCACCTCATCTTCCAAATCACATTCTCTGGCGAACTCCGCGACCTGAAGCCTCACACATTTATCGTCGATCAACTCTCTGCCGGCCTTCCTCTTCTACGCTACCTCGATCCTACCGTCCCCATCCTCTTCTACTGCCACTTTCCCGATCTCCTCCTCGCCCGAGGTCGAGAGTCGATCATCAAGCGTCTATACCGTCGACCCTTTGACTGGATCGAAGAATGGTCTATGGGCTATTCCAGCGCAGTCGCCGTAAACTCTGGTTTCACAAAGGGTGTTGTTGAAAGGACCTGGCCGGATCTGAAGAAGCATGTCGAGACTGTTGTGGTGTATCCTTGTGTCGATGTCGAGGCCAAGGAGAAGGAGGACGCTGGTGAGGATGGGGGCGTTGTGTTTAAAGGCGAAAAGATTATTCTGAGCATTAATCGCTTTGAGAGGAAGAAGGATATTGGACTTGCTATCAAGGCTTTTGCTGCCATTCCTGAGGCTGAGCGGAAGGGTTGCAGGCTCATTCTAGCAGGTATGTCCCCCACAGCCCATGATTGTATCAAGTACTAATGTTCCAGGTGGCTACGATCATCGCGTCGCCGAAAACGTGCAGTACCACGCCGAACTCGAGACCTTAGCTTCGTCCCTCTCACTTCAACACCTTACCTCAAAGACACTCATCACAGCCCTCTCAGCACCCGCCGACATTCCTGTTCTCTTCCTCCTCTCCATCCCGAGTTCACTCAAGAACGCTCTCCTCCGCTCCGCTCGCGTTCTGCTCTACACACCTGCCAACGAACACTTTGGCATCGTCCCTCTCGAGGCTATGCTATCAAAAACCCCTGTTTTGGCGGCCAACTCGGGTGGTCCCGTTGAGACTGTTGTTGATGGCGAGACGGGCTGGTTGCGTTCACCAGAGGATGTGGGTGCCTGGGCAGAGGTTGTGCGCGAGGTACTCAGCATGGGTGACGGCGAGGTAGAGACCATGGGTGAAAAGGGAGCCGCCCGAGTCAAGGAACTCTTTGGACGGGAGCAGATGTCCCAGCGACTCGACGAGATTGTGGACGAGATTGTCGCAAAGAAACAACCCGCCCCCCCTACAGGGGCCGTCAACATCGCCGGGGCTTGCCTCGTGTGTTCTTTGGCTTTCGTTGTGGCGGGCGTCTTGTCATTGATCAGCAAGTAATTGTTTCTCTTAGATACCAACGCATTCAGTGTAAAGTCGAAACTTGGCCCAAGTAATGGACATGTACAAACATGCATAAATATCTCTCAAGGCAGAGTCTCAACGTGGATGCATCTACGAAATCGATTTGTTGTCACATACTGCATGGGAGCTTCATGTTGATAACTGTATTTTCTCTAGCTGGCTTCTTGGTCTATATCCGAGATATGGAACGAGATTCAAAATGTTTTAATGCATGAGTGCATCGAGGGACAACATGCGTGCGCACAAAAGAACAGATCACTCATCATAATGGAAACCATATGTTGACAGTCAACTCGCTGTCGCTTCTTGATTCATCTTTGTAGTGATATCGCTTCCCACCATCTCCATCCCATCCCACAAAAGGGGACAGGAGAGCAATCAGTAAAGAGACGCTACTCCTCCCAGTTCCTATGCAAATGCACCCAAGAGCTCCTTGCCAATCCCGTGGGAAAGGCAGGCCAACGCCCAAAGCCACTAACTATTGAATACCTAGCTAGCCCCAGCAAAGAAATGCTATCATTCTTTGTAATCCCGTTTATAACAAATAAAAACCGCCCCTGTCCTACCCTGTGAATGAACTCGCATCAACCTTGAGCTTAGGCTCCCCGTTGGACACATGCCATCATCTGCTCATCTCCGTCGTTGAACCCAGCTCATGACCCATCATTATTCTCATCCGAAGCTTCATCCACGTATCCGTCCATTGTCTTCAATCCACCAGAAGACTTCTCCAGACCCAGTACAAAAGGGGGTAATATGTTGAGAGCAACCGAACCGCCCATGATATGTAAAAAAGAAAAAGAAAAAGAACAAGAGAAAAAGGAATATGCAGCAAATCCCTCTTTGGGATAACAGTTTGGTCTAGTAACAATAGGAAGAAGAAGAAGAGAAGAAAACACCTGATGCAATCGCAGGCTCGGTGTATGTATGTATGTGTGTTGCATGCTTCCATGTCTCCAGGAACCAAGGCCACAGATGCAACTTGGCCCATGAGAACGTCTCGCAACGATCATGGCATCTGATAGAGTATGTGTGGCGACGAGAAAAATTTGACAAGTCTCGTTACCGAGTGGGGAAGGGTATCATGATTCATAGTGCGACATCCACTCATCGCCGTGAATAGAAGTTGGTACCTTCTTGGCCGTCTCGGTGCTGGCAATGCTGATGTTGGTATCTCGTCTCCGAGGGTTAAAGGCTGGAGGACGAGGAACACCAGACGACGATGGTACTGGCTTCTTCTTGGACTTGGCCATCAACAGAATTCCATCATCACTACCGTCGTCGTCAAAGTCGTCTTCCACAGGTCGGGCGACAGGGGTGCTTGTCACCGAGTCCCGTGTGCTTCCATCCAGGTGCACAGCCAGCGGGCCGCTCTCCATAGCGGGAGCGTTGCCGAAAACCTGATCGATCGGGAAGCCAGCCGCGGGCTCCTTATTAAGGGCCGGTGGTGTGAGGCTGTCGGTTGTCTCGAGCAGGTTTGGGTGAGCGCTCACGATACCTGGCTTGCAAAGGAGTTCTGCCTCCATATCCGCCGACACGGAGCTAGCTCCACTGAGCAGGGCTGGCAGCGAGGGGTCAGACTGGAACACCAGCATCCGCTCCGACGTGCTGGCAGTCGAAGGCTGCGCCGACACCGGGCTGGTCACCTCGCTTGGGCTGGTCGAAGGGGTACCCAGAGCCTCCATCGAGTCTACACTCGACGACTTGGTAGTGGGCATCGTCTCTGCACGGGGCAAGGACTGGTTCCGGCTCCATTCTTCTTGAATTGGTGAGGGCGGGCACGAGAAGCTGACAGGGTCAGCCTTGGGCCGCTCAATTCGCCGCATGCAGAGCTCCTCTGAGTGGCGAGGCGGTGACGATCGAACTACCGGCGCACTGTCGACTCTGTGTGCTGCCGGGGGCCTTGTCTTCGTAGAAGGTCGGGCTTCACCGTAATAGCTGGGGTCAATCAGGGGTTGCCCATGTTGATACCCAGTGGCAGCCACAAGCGATGCAGAGAGCAGTGATGCCTCTAGCCGCTTGCTCTGTGCACCCTTGCCGAGGTCGACAGATTTGATGGGACGTCCGTGACGAGATGGCTTGTGAACGCTGCCTGGAGCGACAGCGGTGCTTACACCAACCTTAGCTTCAGCGCGCTTGTCGCTGCTGGCAAAGAGTCCACGGTCAACCGAGCGTGATCGGGAGCTCTCATCAGCAGAATCCATATCCCGCGTTTTTCGAATTGTCTCAGCCCCAGAATCGTCGGGGTGATCGGATTGACAGGCAAAGTTGGGCGTGGTAGGCGTAGTCTGAGAGATGGGCATCGGAGGACCAAAGTGGAGGAAGTGATGGCTGGACCTGCTGTGGTGATGACTGCTCTGGCCATGACTATGGGTATGGCGATGAAAGGGCCATAGAGATGCCGCTGAGTTCGATTTCTCAGGTTCCCGCTGAGACTCACTTTCGCTGTGCGCATGGGCATGCCCTCGAGGAGCTTCGTTTGAGGGAAGCACTGTGGCTAGGGGGTCGTAGACGACAGATTCCGGCTGAGGGCTGACCGACTGGCTGACCGAGAGAGGGTGGTCCGAATTCGCAGTAGCTTCACGAACGGCGTTGGCAAAGTAATCGTCGGCGCGGATGCTTTTGCGTCGGTTGTCGCGATACTGTTGATGCGGAGTCGCCGGTGGCACGTTGTTGTACATGCTCATACTGTCACCGGCGGAGCTAGCGGCACTACTGTCGGCTCTTCGTCGAGTCTTGCTATCACTCCGCTCCACCAGGGGGTGTATTACCTTGCCAACGGCCTTCTTGACCACAGAGCGTGCTCGCTCGAGGAATGTGAGCGGTACAACCGCTGCCGACACATCCCTATCGTCGACTTGAATTCGTCGACCAGATGAGGGCCGTGCAGGATCCGTGTCATCGAGCCAGCCGACAGGGTCGATAAGGTCCTGAACTACCCAGGGATGTCGCTTGATGTCTCGTAGCCGAATACGCTTCTCGGGATTCTTAGTGAGCATCTGGCGCAAGAGGTCGATGAGGAGATTGTCGACTTCCTCATATGCCAGATCGTTGTCGTCTCGGTAGGGGTGCATGTTCTGACGCTTGTAAAGGGATGTAGCAGTAGGTGATGTCGATGGATGAACCGGCATAAGACGTTTCCTGGGAATATACACCTCCTCTGTCGCAATCTTTCGGAACATCTGGAATTCATCTTCGGCCAGGAAGGGAATTCGGGCGTAGATGAGGCAGTAGAGGGTGACTCCAAGAGACCAAACATCAATCTGCTCCGAAACCTTGGGTTGTTCCTTGTCCAGGTCCGTATAGCAAAGTTCGGGGGCAAAGAAGGCTGGAGTGCCAACCGTCTTGGCGAGTTCGAGGTCGTCATCGAAGTCCTTAGCCTCCGACTCGGAAACAGTGTCGTCGGGCTCGCCATCACGGATGGGTCTACCAAAGTAGGACACACCAAAGTCGGAGATCTTCACGCGGTGCTCCCTGCTCCACAGGAGGTTCGCCGGCTTGATATCTCGATGAACAACGCCCTGATAATGCAAATATTCTAGACCCAAAACGGTATCTCTAAAGGTAGAGCGGGCTTGGTCGAAGGTAAAGCAAGGTACGTAGGAAAAGTCGTCTGAGAACGGGTCGTGTGATTGAGGGTTGAAGTCAAGAGACGACATGTGGGAGATGATAGAGTCGGCCATACTGGGGGAACGGCCACGAAAGCCTTCGTCGACGTAGGGTCCGTACATGGTTCCGTCCAGAGCGACACTCGATGTGTGGTTGGATCGAAGAGCGCCTGGTGTCTCGTTATCGTCCTCCCACTGGAGGAACTCATCAGGATCCTCCACAGCTCGGGTTGAGGATACGACGGAACGAGATCGCGAGTGGGTTCTTGATTCGGTGCAAGAGGCTTGGCGAGAGATGGGTCTCGATGGCGGCTCGTCACTGACTGCGAAGTCGTCTCTCGATAAGACCCGAGATTGGGCGCCCGGGTTGGTGATAGGCTCGTCGACATCGCCGTGCTCGAAGCTCCAGTAGTTGGTCTGGCCATGATAACCCAGAGCCGCCTTGGCTCGCTTTATTTGCTTGAGGGCTTGGCGGTTCTCGAGAAACTGTTCATAACGTTCCTCCTCGGGGGTCGGGGGTTCGCCTCGCATTTGACGCTCAATGCGCCGTCGCTCGTACAGGCAGATGTGAGGGAGACCCTTCTTGCGCCAGACCACTTCACCCAGCTCCACATGCTCAAGAACCATGTAGATCTTCTTAAGCTCCGGATCATCGATGACCTCGAGCAGGGCTACCACATTCGGGTGACGAATCTTCTTGAGGATGGCGATTTCCTTTTTCGTCTTGTCTTGAGGCGACATGGCTGTGACTTTGCCGAGGCGGCGCTTCTTCGAAAATCGCGGGATGATCTTGATGGCCACATTCTCGTTTGTTTCCAAGTTGCGAGCCAACTTGACTTTGCCGTGCATTCCACGACCAATTTCTTCGATCACTTCATATTGGTTGATGAGCTTCCGGCCCGTGAGGGTATCTGAGTCGATAAGAGCTTTGTGCGTCCTATGATTGGCAAATGCATTAGTATCTCGCAAATTAAGACCCCACGATAAGCTCCCTGCCCGTCCCACCCCGCTGCAGGCCGACAACCCAAGCGAGAGCAGGAGGGGTGGAATTGACATGACGGTGAAACAAAAATCTGTGGTAGTTCACGATGCTTACTCTCGAACTTTGTGCATTTGTAACGGATGCAACAGAGGACTCTGGGTATACCCAGGAGGTGTGTTGTTCTCGGAAACGGACGTGACGAGGTTTTGTCGCGAAGCCGAGGGGCTGAAAAGCCCAGGAGAAGACATGGGAGTGCTGTTGGCGGTCCTCAGCGGCATGGAAGAGGAGGAAGGGAGGTGCGTGTGCAACGGCGGGGTCCCGCGGTTCGCCGTCGAGAGGGAGGTGGACGACTGCTGTTGCGACAGCGACTTGTGATGGTGGCGATGGGCGTGATGGTGGTGATGGTGGTGATGCGGGTGGTGGTGATGCTGCTGAGAGGGATCCATGGTGGGCGAGATTGTAATATCGACTTTGGTCGACTCGACATGCTGGTACGTAGAGGGCTCGCAGAGGCGGGCCAAGGAGTCGTTAAAGTCACAACGTCTGTGACTAGAAGCCTATAGTGCCATTGTCGGGTATGGAGCGCAAGGAGGATCGAGTGAGAGGATCGGAGGACCGACGGACGTTGGAAATGTAGAAGAGGTGAGAGGGACGAGAGATTTGATGAGGGAAGTTGAGATGGAGAACGGGTCAAACAACCTGGACAAAAGAGTCGAGGGAAGTGGAGCAGTAAAGAGCGAGAGAGAACAGGTCGTGTGTTTTGGGGGGTGGATTTTTTAGTTAGCTGGTGGGTTGGGACCGGGTCGGTGATGTATGGAGGTGGATTCTTCTGGGCGTGGATGGGGCAGCGGCGGCGGCGACGACGGCGTGTGAGAGCGAGCGAGGAACGGAGCGGACGGGCGAACGAAAGAGAACCAGCCCTTGGGCGGCCGGCCGACTCCGCAGCACAGGAGCAGAAGCAGCGCGGTGCAGACAGTCGAGAGAGTCACAGAGAGCCAGGCCAGGGGGGGTTGGCGAGATGCAACCACCCCTCCTCCCCTGGGCATAGGCAGGCGAGCGAGCGAGTCGAGGCAAGGCGAGTCCAACTTGGGAGAAGAGACGAGAGATAAGATGCGTGGTACTAACAGGGCGGTACCTTACAGTGTTGGGCTGGCAATGTCAAGCACAAAATCAGCTGTCAGCGCGGGCTGCTGGTTTGTCATTGAGACAGTAGAGTTTTGTCCCCTCTGTCTTGCCCTGCCCTGCCCTGCGGACGGCCGGGGAGCGGGAGCAGCCCAAGTTGCGAGTGCTTGGAAGTGAAAGACGGGTGCGCGCTAAGGAGCTGGAGGTTGAAGATGGTGGTGTGGGTAAGGTAGGGCGTGAGAGTCTTGGTGTTTAGGACGGTGTGTGTGCATGAGGGGACATCCTCTGTGCGCTCTGCAGACAAGGGTTGAGGGAGATGGTGAGGGCGACTTCGAGCAGGGTCGGGATGGGAATGGGAAGCATGGCGCCATGGCGTCCGAGCACAGACCCATTTTCCCTGAGATCGGTCCTCGCACGGTAGAGACTTTCCATCTTGGTAGCCGTCTGAGGTGGCCACTGGCAGCGCCGAGTTGCCACTACAAAAGCCTGCGAGAAAAAGCGACACACTAATTCGGACCAACAGTGTATGCTTTTCAAAGGATAGCAATAGAAATACGGTAATTATTAGGAAATAATATGTGACTCTCGGCATGTTGCCTCTTCTCATGATAGCTTACTTTACACAATTTTCCTATCATTGTAAGTAAATACCTTTCTCACAGAGCCGTAACCTCTGAGGGAAGTTAGAGCGCCCAGTGTCTCGTTTATTCTTGACCCGTCCACCTGCAGAGGCACTGCAACTACAGCCTCGGGCCTCAAAAGATGCCGGGCACTGTGCAATGCCTCTGGCTCTCCAGCGCATTCAACCTGCCTTGAATGCCCCGGCGCTTCTCCAGAGGACGACATGAGATTATCTTGAAACCTCAGTCTCGATCAGGCCCATCATTCGATATCATCTCTCACCGTCAGATCAATGCTTGCGAAAGGTGAGAGCTATGGGCACCAACAACGAGCTCAACAGACAAGGGATCGCACAAGCACTGCACTGAGCAAGTCCTGGCCCTGCCCGGCGAGAGCCTTGGCAACGCTCGGGCTGGGATGGCTTGGCGATGTGATTTGCAGCGCGGCGTCTGGTGAGTGTCACAGAGAGATTGACATGGAAGAAATAACCCGGTTTGTCCAACAAGATCCCAGCCGCAACTATGACGACTCGACAAGCGTGGCGACGCGACATGTCAACCTTGGGGATTCTTGGCGATGGTTGAATTCAACATGATGCTCAGCACCTTCTGGGCACTCACACTCGGGCACTGAAAACGATATCTCCAAGGCGTCGTCGATAGCTGACGCAATGGGGAGAGTCAGTGAGCTTCAGCGAACCAGTGAGCGGCTGCGGGCCATGGTGCGGGAGGCGGTGATGTTGTAACGGATGTGGACACTCAAACACCTACCCTTGTCTTATCGTTGACGTCTGATTCGCTTGTCGATGCTGTGCCCTGCAGCAGCACAACAGGCCCTGGACACGTCCTGTCTGGAGCATCTGCTCTGGCTGAGATTCACTGTGCTCATCATACCGTGCATCGACAGCTCTCGGTGGAGCAGCGTTCCGTTCAAGACGGGAACCTGCCTTGCCAGGTCATGATGGCTCCTGCAGCCGCCTTGGATAAACCCATGATGAGGTCTCCATCCATGGAACCCGCCTTAGTTGACACCTAATCTGTCAACAACAGCCGAGCCAGCGTGGTTCACGGATCATCTTTTCATGGATGATGAGTGATGGCCGATGAGACACCGCAAATGGGCGAATGAACGGCCGATCTGATCAGTCAGCCAATGGCATCTCACCATTTGTATTTTCATGTGTGTGTTCGATTTCTCACCCTCACCAGAATCCATCGCCCCCGTTGGGCTTGGTGGCTTCTGGGCTAGGCCCAGTCTTGTCCTGTCTTGACTCTGACCCATTTTGCTGGGGCCGTTTTTCCCCCTGTCTCTAGCACCGATAAGATTCGCGTCTTTCGAACGCACGCACGCAGTTTTTTAGTTTTTTTTGCTTTTGGGGAATTTGTGGCATCTTGGCTTGTGGCTATTGTCTGACCTGGAACCAACAGATTGGAATCCTTGAGCCTCGTTCCAGCGGGTTGCCTAAACGGAACTTGTCCATGTCCACCAGACACGGACACGCTTCTGCGCCTCCGTCTCTGCTGTGCATGAGAATTGCAGTGTATCGATTCCGGTCGCCCTGCAAGGGTGCGGCTCCAGACATTTGTTTTTCGCTCTCGTTTGCTTGGCTTGTCCTTGTTTTCCCCGTCAACGTTTCTCTACTCTCCGGACCCAGCATAACTCTTGCAGACGAGGCTCGCTTCGTGCACATTGACGGTTTCCGCTTTGAACGGAAACGGAGTCTGCTCGCGTGCCTTTGTCATGAGATTCCTCCCAAGACCATCACGTCCAACAGCTTGCAGCCGTTCATGTGCCCGCCCAGATGAACCCAACTTTTTAGTCTCGCAATTCCATGGACGGGCTGGCAACTCCGTCCTCCAGGCCAAGGTTGTTATTGTTGGGTAATCGTATGCTGAGAGATTCGAATACGTACGGAATAGTGAGCACACTGGATCCATTGACATTGTGATACCACCAAACCCCCCTGTTTCGTGAGGATTCAACGGCAGGGACGGAGATAGACTTCACTTAGACCGCATGCACATGGGTGAGCTAACTGGTTCGCTGTGTCGATCAAATCCGGCAATTCTCCATCTTTGCCCCTTTTTTTCCTCCGTCATCGACGATTCCTTGTGCCAGGTCGAGATTCGAGTTTGATTCCTTGGATGTCGTATTCGCCCGACTACCTCTTCATTGACTTGGCATTCTATCATCTCATCCAAAATATGTAGCCTACGCAATAGGCACGGCATCAACTGATCGTAGAAATCGTCTTCTTGGTCTGACTAGCTGACTCGCCACGATCGCTCGTCCCTTCCAGTTTCAGAGCCAAACACGCTGTACTGCGCTGCACCATCCTAGCGCCTTCATCTTGTCTGCACCTTCCTGCAGCTATCTGCATGCAGCTGCACAAGGCCTGCCTCCGGTCCCCGCCGGTCCTCCATGTCCGCTTTGGCGCCTTCCATTCACCCCATCGCCCTCTACAACTTCCCCGCCACGCCAACTGGACTGTGGATGGAAAGTCACTGGCACCTCGCCCACTTTTTCCTTCTCAATCTTCCAGACTGACTGGCTCAAGAGTCGATAAGCCTCCCCAGGCTTTCGATACCCAGCTCCCAAGAATCTTGTCCTGTCATGACACTGCCCAACGGCCAAACCAAACAAGTGTGGGAATTCCCATCCCATCGCCAGATCTCACTACCGAGATGGCCCAACCGGCACATCCAAGCTTCTTGACCCCAGCGGCGGTCTCGCCCGACGCCGCCAGCCATGACGGAGCGGCTAGTGATTTCAACACCTCCTGGGCATGGGAAGCCTCTCACGCCTCTGTGACGGAGAGGGCACGACCAACAAGCGAGACATTGATCAGGCTAGGCTGGGCTGGCTTAGGTGAAGACAGTCAGAACCAACTGAATCAACGATAAAGAGCCGGCAGCATCGTGAAGTGCTGATTCCGCTTCTGAGTGGACATTGCCAATGCATATCGAGGAGCCAGTCCCTGTTCAATCAACCTGAGCTCGTGTCTTGGAACGCCATGAAAACAGTCCACGATAGGAGCTCTCAAACGCCGTCTTCAACTAGTTAGCGCTCTCTTGGCCCTGTCTCGACCGGAAATGGATCTCACACTGCCTCAAGCCTCTTGCACAAATCAGAGGCGAATTCCCTCGCTACGTCACTCACTGAACGCCTCTATCCGAGGCTCGGCTCACTCTTGATAACAAACCACCGACGTCTCTGCCCAGCATGCCGGTCCATGGACGGGCTGTTTCGTAGCCGCCGCATCATCGTACAACTTCTGGCCTCACTCAACCCCAGGACCCTTTTTCAAGGGTCCCAGACGAAGCAAATGTCTCGAGCCTTTATCGATTGGGCAATTCCTCCCGAAATAATCAGCACAACTGCCCCAGACGAACAGAGACAGGAAACTGATTGCGGCAAAGTCCCCAGCCCTGGGCTGGGCTGCGGCAGGGGAGCTGCGTGGCTCCAGCTCTGACACCACCCATCGCGGCCACCAGCATGAAGCCCATGTCCAGCACCGGCCCGGCTCGGATAATGAGCGGAGCACCGAGCGGGCCCGCTGCTGCAGGTAGACGCTGTCTGGACGAGATCATCTGTGTGTGGAGATCAGCCAGGGGTCTGCCCGGCAGCTTGACAGGGAGTAGAGGCAGGGATGGGGAATACGTAGCGTATTCCTCTGCTTGGGATCTGCATTCATACCGTTATC